AATTAAAAGTAAGAGAGATAAAACTACAATAACAAAATAAGCTTAAGAACTACTAACTAAAATAAAACAAAACAGTAAATATAAAAGGAAACAAAAAAGAAATCAAATAAATTATCACAATTTTTAAAATGTATACAAGTACCTATAAATTAAGTTACCCAATACCTAGAATATATGATAGAATTTGAGTCATCAACTGTTTGTTAAGTGTGTTAAGAGTTTCTGTCAGAATGGGTCATAGTCACATTCAGATTATAGTGAAGAAACAGGTTGGTCATTTATGAATATGTATATATTTATCTCAGGAGCCCTGAGATACACCATAAATAGAAGATCTGGAATTTGGTGAGCTGTTTTTGATCTTCACAGATTGAAATCAGTTCGTTGAATATGATTGGATCATTTATATACATTCCTTGTAAAAATTATATGAGCACGAGTGCACTTGTTTTCAAACCAGCAGATTCTCTCAATTTATTGATAGTGTGTGTGTGTCAAAATACGCCAAGTTGAATGCCAAACTATACCTGCATGACATATTCAATGTTTTTCTTAAATTTGATTGAATGAATATTGAAAATATTTCCAAAGAATAGTAAGATTGCAAGTGGTCAAAAATATGAAGTTTTCAATGTATAGTTTTTTAGCAATGTAAATGGCAAGAACTATTTTGAAAATGTTATGAAGCACACTCTCACAAATGATACGTTTATAAGTTAACTGTCAGTTTAGTTGGTAAGTGGATTTAGAGATTTTGTTTTTTGTGTGGAAGTTCTGATATTGTCAATTACAAGTAAGCATGAGTACTCTTTTCTCCACACTCATATAGATATGCTGCAGATTCTGGTTAAATGATATCCATACTAGTGAACGGGTTATACAGAGTGTCAGTTTATAAAAATATGCCAAAAGGTCAATGCCAAATTAAAATTGTTAACAAAAAATGTAATTCTTTTATCAACAGAAAAAATTATTCAATTCACTACAGACTAGTAATAAAAAGTTAGACATCCAATGAGATAATATGAACTCTGTTCCATTTTTTGTTTTATTCGGCTGATACATCAATTAAATTCATTGTTGATGAAATTCCACCTTGTGGTTGAGGGGGATTCTGTTGTACTATGAAAGTATGTTGCCAGATGTAACAATTTGAATTCTGCAAGAATCCGCTTGATGCCAGCGCTAAATGAAAAGTATCAAGAAACTTTTTAAAATAAATTATATATTTGCCCAGACAGATGATCAACTGTATTTCATATAAAAATGAGGTAAATAGACTATTACTTTTTTCATAAAAATTTTATTTTATACTTTTATTTTACATAAAAAAATATCAATGAGATTTACGATGTAACTGATGAAATTTTTTTTAACTAAAAACTTTCAACCTCAGCAATGTTTCAATCATATCTGAATATTTTCCTTTCATTTTGGATTTAATACATGACATACATAATATTTTTTATAGAGAAGAAAAGAGAATTGAAACTTTCGATGTTTTGTAATTAACGTTATGTTAGTTACAAATAAAAGTGGTAAAAAACATAGAAAGTTTCAATTCTCTTTTCTTCATTATGATCTCATACCACGTAGTAACGGCTACATCCATCAATTTTTTATAGAAGTATTTTCATTATAGTCCATATGTTTACACTTTTTCACAAAAAAAAAATCAACCCCCTACAGTGAAACTCATTCTATTCAAGGTACTTTTTGATAAGTGTGAAAAGCTCTTGTACTTAGATTATTAATTGGGAATGTATTATTACTTGTTTTCGTATTTTATATATGTTGTAATGAAATGTAATTTGTCCATAAATGGACCATCTAGGTCCAGGAACGACAATATTATTATGTATCTCAAAACTTTCAAAACGTAAACAGCATTGAATAATTATATAATATTTGTAATAAATAAGTTTTCACAGCCTGCCAACTAAAATTCATTTGATCTGTTGTAATTTCATATATAAGTAGTCTCCGATAGTTACATGTAATATTTTAGAATTTATTAGAATTATTCAGAGTATTTTTGAGTAGTATTCCTTTCTTCAAATATTAGGGTAATATTTGTATGAGTGATTCCCTAACATAGATTAAATTGTATAATTTTTGTAACTTTGATAAAACATTTATTATCTAGTCATTATCATTATTTTATACAAAAAGTATATCAATAAAATAAGTTGAGATATACAGAGTTTTCATTTTATTTAAATATACAGAGCACATTGAGCTAAAATTTATGATCCAAGTCATTCATCCTCAATAGGAGCATGCAACTGAAAGAATAAGCTGCATTAGGTTTATCAAGGTTTGTTTCAATAAATACTCTTACCACTTCAGCAATATCCATCCAATCCATTGCTTTGATAAATAAATCATTTTTACTTGGCTTTTTGTCCCAATTCCAATAAGTTATATCAGAGAACTTATTTGTAATATAGAATTTCCTTTCATCTTTTTCAGTTTCAGGTCTGACAGTTTCCTGTAATACAACTCCTACGTATCCCTTGGGTACATCTTTTTTTTTGCCTTCTAAAGTACATCCTCTAAAGGAAGCCTTCAATGCTAAAAAGTAAAAAAACATGAATGGAAGAAATAACCTCTCAAAGATATTTTTACTGTTTTCCGTATCTTCCTTGAGGTTCTCATCGAAAAATTTGCTTACATTTGCATCACAATCCGCAAAAACTTTGCAGGGAATATGTTGAATTTTGCTGTTGTTTTTACTGTAATTACTTTTCCCGCTCTGAATGTGAATGGTCGCCATGGCCACAATACAAAAAAAATTGTTCTCTCACTACTACCACAAAAGAGTGAACAATAGAGAAAGGACACACCAAATGGCGGGAAGTTTTGAGTGTTTTATTCGTTAAGAAAAGGACGTCATGATGATAAATGATTAATAAATTTGCAATATATGTAATGTGCTGACATTAGGTGAGATGCGAAATACAAACTGTACATGCGCTACACATGCTGATTATAATTTACGTTTATTATGAGTTGTAACTGTCAATTTACAGTTGTAAGTTTGAATTGTGGAAGAATAATCCTTTATATTTTTTTAATCCTACAACGTTTTCGTAATTAAAGACGGTAAAATGTGTAGTTTTTCAACTACTCAAAAGTTTTTCTCTTGTCAAATGTCAGTGTTTCCAACCACGAAATGACTGAAATTGAAATATGTACAACTATTTTTAGGTGGATAAGGTCAATAGATGATTTCAGTAGCATCAGGCCGTTTGTGAAAAAAAGTTCAGTACAGTTTTGTTTTCAGTTTCGTCAAGTGTTGAAATGGTAGTAGTCAATTTTCATACAAAGTTCGATAAAGGAAACTTCAGTAATTTGGCTTGTGTAGAGTGGCTACCATGTGTCAAAATTAGAAGATTCGTGGATTATTTCATTTTCTGAAAAGATGTCGGTATATAGATGTAGAATATATGAACAGAAAAATAAATTATTGAAGATACTGAAAAACAAAATATTCTATCGGTCTATTTAAACAAAGGAATAATGTAGAAATTTGGGAAAGAATAAATTTCAAAAATTCAACGACGCTATATGTAGAGAAAAGAAATGGTGTCCTGAAATGGAAATAGAGTGATGAATGAGTTGAATAATACCGAGAACATCGTATACAAAACAATATTCTGCAATTTATCAATCTGTTCAATTACAGAAAGAACAGTGTTATCAATTAATTTCATGAATATTCATGTCTGTATATTAAAAAAGCGGTGTTGTCATAAATTACATAATTGTCACAATGGCTCAGTGAAAATTGGATTTACCATTTATTAGGGACTTATACATTGGTGTGAACAAGTGTTACACCAGCAAACTCAATAGATTGAATTTGTGTGTCTTATAACAATAATCAATGTTTTCCCAGATTTTCATGTTCGAATTATGAAACTTATATTATCTGCATTTGCGTGTTCGTCAGTTCAAATTTGTTCCATAGCTCTGTCAGCTGAGGCAGTCGAAAAATAAGAAGAGGAACCTTCAACTTCAGGATCTCGGGGTTATGTATTTATGTTTCAATGTACCTATTTTAAAATCAGTGTTGGGCACGTGTTGTTGAAATTTTAAAACTTTATATTTCAACTTTATCGTACGATTGAATCTACGAATACTTAACACAATGGATAGATTTGGTGAGTGTTGTTACTTTATACATAGTTTTCGGATTTTAATATTTGATAAGTAAAATTATTCATTTATTTTCGGCCCCATTAATTTTTTTTTTTGGTTTAAGGAGGTCGCGGTGGCGGTGGCAGAGGTGGTTTTGGAGGTAGAGGCGGCGGTCGGGGAGGCAGTCGAGGTGGATTTGGTGGAGACAGAGGTGGATTTGGTGGCGACAGAGGCGGTCGCGGTGGCCGAGGGGGATTCGGCGGCGGACGAGGTGGAGGTGGACGTGGCGGCGGTGGACGTGGAGGTGGTCGTGGGGGTGGACGCGGAGGTGCCAGAGGTGGGCGCCCGAGCGGAGGAGGGTTTAAGGGTGGAAAAACTGTAGTTATTGAACCACATAGACACGAAGGAGTTTTTATAGCGAGAGGGAAGGAAGATGCCCTTGTTACCCTTAATTTGGTTCCTGGATCTGAAGTTTACGGAGAGAAGAGGATTTCTGTTGAGGTAACTATCACAATATGAAAAGAATTAAAATTTCCTAATATTTGATGTTTTTTTGGCTCTTGCCAATTTTCAATTAGAATAACTTATTTTGTTCTCCTGATCTTGAATCAAAAAGCGGGAAATCAATCTTTTCACGATCGCATGCTGTGATACACTTTCATTTTGCTCCATACAAAACATTCGATTTCCTCAAAATTATATCTTTGTCGGCAAACAGAAACCTGTTTTAAACTCGAATGTTTATGAAACTAAAAATATATAAAGGAGATGAAGTAGACTGTCACCTGCTAAAGATGCCATTTTCGTTGGGGAAACGTACATTGAGAGGAGTATCTATTATATATCTGGTGTTTGGGAAAAGTGCAGGTTTTGGATTTACTTCCCAATTTTCTATGTTCAGAAGTAAAATTATAGAATACAATAATTGGGATTATTAGTGACCACCCCGATCACCCAACCATTGAACTTGCTCTGTTATTTGAAGCAGAAAGTTTATGAAAGTCGGACTATTAGTGATATTCAGCATTCTCCAAATGCAGGTATAGAGTCCTGTGCAATTTCAAATCCCAATGTACAAGAATTGCCGTTGTAGACATTGATAACATTGAAATGTTGTCAGTGATTTTTTTTTAAACAATGTATTTTGTGAATGATAGGTTTTGTCTTTTGATATTCAATCAGGCACCAAATTTCATTTTCAGTCATATTATTACTAGAAATTCATAACACGTTTTATTCAATTTGAAGATTTTTTCAAGTTTTGAGATGTAGTTATTGAATGAAAAGTCAACCTTTTGTTGTTTTTTTTTAAAAATGGTGAAAAAGCACGACTTAGCAAAACTTCTGTTTAATTTTTATACTGTAATTCCAATTATCTTCTGAATGAGGTTCCAAATAATGAAAATTGAAATCAAAACTATGAAAAATGTGAAATAAAACTTTCTATTTTTTTACCACTTTTATTTGTAACTCATGTTACTGCATTTTCGTCCTATAAGTACATTTTCAAACTAATACAATATATTAGTTTGAAAATGTTTTTATAGGACAAAACTGCAGTTACGTGAGTTACAAATAAAAGTGGTAAAAAAACAGAAAGTTTTATTTCACATTTTTCATAACGATCTCCTACCACATAGTAACGGCTACATCCATCAATTTATTGAAATCAAAACTAATCTGCATGACATTGCTGACGAAGAAGTAGATATAAGTTGAATATTTGATTTTTTTCGAAAGTACTTTATTTGTCAAAAATTGTCCCAGATTGAAGATATTTCATCAGTCATTAAATTGTAATAGAATCATAGCAATAAATATGGTTTGATTTTTTTGTTAAACAGTGACTGTTATACAATATTAACTTTTTTTTCTACTTTCCAGAATGATGGTAATAAAACAGAGTACAGAGTGTGGAATCCTTTCCGAAGCAAACTAGCTGCAGCTATCTTGGGCGGAGTGGACCAAATATACATGCCTCCTGGTAGCAGAGTCTTATATTTAGGAGCAGCATCAGGAACAACAGTTTCACATGTTTCGGATGTAGTTGGTCCAGAAGGTTTAGTTTATGCAGTAGAATTCTCACACAGGTCTGGGAGAGATTTGATAAACGTTGCCAAAAAACGTACAAATATCATTCCTATAATTGAAGATGCCAGGCATCCTCATAAGTACAGAATGTTGGTTGGTATGGTAGATACAATTTTCGCTGATGTTGCTCAGCCTGATCAGGCTAGAATCGTTGCTTTGAATGCCCAGTATTTCCTTAAAAATGGAGGGCATTTTGTGATTTCCATAAAAGCATCCTGTATCGATTCTACCGCCCAACCCGAGGCTGTCTTTGCATCAGAGGTTAAGAAACTGCAGGCAGATAAGTTAAAGCCTCAGGAGCAGATTACTTTAGAGCCATATGAGAGAGATCATGCGGTTGTTGTAGGAGTTTTCAGACCACCTGCGAAAAATTAAATGTTTGGTTTTTAAGATTAATATTTTTTAAGAAAGGACTTTTTCTTATGTATTTTTTAAATAAGATTTGTTAGTATAAATGTATACATTCCCTTGAAATTTGTTTTTAATTCAAAATATATTCCCTTTCCTCTACCACGTATTATGGTGTGACTATTATTCCTTCTTTTCATTAAAAAAATGTTGTTTACGAATGTTATTTCTCTACTATGGATATATTATTCTAGTCTACAAGAAATAAAAATTAATATTTCAAAAGACCTTGGTCGAATATCTTTATGGCTTCAATGCCATAAAATGACTCTGAATTTACCGAAATCTTCATATATGTTCATATCAAAAAGGTCTATATCAAAGATCTAATTAAATTCAATAATGAAAATATTGAATACTCTCTTAGTGCTAAATGTCTTGGTCATATTCTGGAAGAAAATGTATTATGGAGAAAACACATTAAAACAATAAAAAAATAGCTCCCATAATTGGAATTTTATTCAAAATAAGAAATGTTATACCCATAAAATACCTTAAATTGCTTTATTTTTCATAAGTATATTCCAAAATATCTTATATCAGTATGGGGTATGGCAACAAGTTCCTTATTGAAACCAGTTCAAAAACTTCAGCACAAAATTATAAGGTATATATACAAGTTGAACTACAAAGAGCCTACAGTAAACTTGTATAAACCAAAAAAACTATTAGATTTGTCATTCTTAAATAAATTCAAATTATGTACCTTCATTCATTTGGCCAAAAATAAGCTGAAACATTCAAATTTGACTTTCAAAATCAATGGTGACCAACAGAACCATTTAACAAGATATTCAGGGAATCTGAAATTAGTGAAAATGAAAAAATATTGGGCAAAATTCGATTTATTATTAAGGTATCAAATTTTACAATGAGCTACGAAATGCTTTGAAAAAATTAAACAAAAATTCCAGATTAATTAAAAAAAATATTGTTTGTATAGATATATTATCTGATGAGTACATTTATGTTAATGTTGATAATAATGTAATATTTATATTTTCTTCAAGTTTCATTTCTGATTTATCTTTTTTTTGTGTGCTCTGTTCGTACTTAGTTATGATTTAGTAATTTTTTTGAATTATTTTTTTCCCTGCTATATACATTGTGTTTCTTGGGAAAATAAATTGTTATTATTATTATTAATGAGTTATGGATTTTCATCAAGTATAAAGCAATTTTATCACATATTTATTGTGAGATTTTCACCTAACAGTTTACAAACCACGACACATATTTCATCTGCGATTTAAATACAAGCACTATATCATTAATTCCTTGGACAACAAATTATAGTTTCTATGTTCACCACTTTCCCTTCGAGTCAATCATAATTTATTGATGACTAAGCTCAAAGCATAAGGAATAGAAGCTTACATAAAATATTTTACATTGGTTAGAGAGCTACTTTTGTTCAGTAGTTCAGTGCATCAGGAGTTTAATCAACATTATATATAATTGATCATTATTCACTTCAAAATGTCTTTTTAAACTTTTGTCTAATTTCTACTACGATTTTCATTCGTTACGACTGGTTTCGGTTTATTAAACCATTTTCAAGAGTTTATTCAATATGAATTTCTACATAATGAATAGGTCATCAATCGAACAAGCAAAATGTCTCTGATAATGAGGCACTGCAGTGTGGTCTAGAAGTTGGGTAACGTTAATTCATTACATTCAAATCCAATGAAATCTTAGATAATTGATTTTACAAATATCGGTAATGTAACTAATTTTTCACATGAGAGCCATAGAAAATATGTTGCAGTAACTGATGAAAGCAAAGATCTACAGTTTTTTGGTCCTGAAAATGTCCTTCAACTGTAATGGAGGTAGATGTATGTAACCCTCGAAAATTTATTAACTTAATGTTTATCAACCATTTTGACTACATCAAGTATGCACGTATGGTAAGTCAATATTATAAAAGAATAATTTCAAATGAAGTATTCTTTGAATTACTTTTTTTGTGGAGGATACAATGTTTCTTACTGCTTTTCTGGGTTTTTCACCTTTCAAAATAAAATTAAAAAAAAAACAAATCAATAGAAAATATGTTGAAGTGTAATAAAGGGTAAACTGAAAAGTTACTGCAAGTAACTAACTGGACTTTTCAGTGTTTTATTTCATGATATAAACCACTGATGAGTCCAACACCGGCAGTAACTAATTTTTGCCCATACATTATTATTAATTTCAGAACTGTGATCTAATTTTGCGTTCATAACATCTTTCAAGTTTTAAATTATGGTGAATAAATTCTACTGCTACATCAAAAAACCGCAATAACAAATTTCTTAATTGAAACTTTGTTGATGTACCATTTCGTTACTGTTAGTGCAAAAGGTCGTATGTAAAAATTGTCCATTTTCATTTTATTTGTGCTAGAGGTGACATTTTGCAGTTTGCAACTGCTACAAAAATATTGTATGTCATCAGCTGATCTATTATAAGTTATGGTTGAATGTAAAAAAGTCGTATGTTGTGCAGCGGATTTTTTTTACTGTAAAAAGTCGTATGTAGAATATAACAACCTTGATGGACAACAAAGAGGTTAGGTTACTCACACGTGTTGTACGGAAGTTTAAGGACCTCCAAGACCTGACAACTTGCCTTGAAGAAGATTATCATTTTTTTATGATAATCTCCGTCACAGCAATTGCTCAGAAACATTATTACCCAATGAATCTGATCATTTTGAAGATTTATGATTTAATAGTTTCAAATCATTTTTAACTTCCTCATCAGAAACATGAAAGTTGAAATCTGAAACAACTCCAACTCTCACATTTCTGATACGTAGCTAAAAATACGTCGAAATGTATTTCAATATTTATTAAATCAATTGTATAATTTTTCACTTTCTTTGTACAAAATTTATGATAAAAGTTGTTTATAAATTTTTGAAGTCTACTATATTTTTTTAATCAGTTTATTTGGACGTTTAAATATGGTTTTAAATTCTCCTTGGTTTGATAATTATCTTACAAATCAAGCGCGGAAAGATATGTGCCTAAATGCAAAAGGTTGTATGGTAAATTTAGGCTCAAACATTAATTGCAAATTCGAATAGGATGGCGACCGTTGAATATGATTTTGATTGTCAAGTTGGCGGGAATTCTGTCAAAATGTTTAAGAAAACCAATTTCTAAATTGTCGACGTTTCGAAACTGCATTGTTTCATCTTCAGGACTATTTAGGGCGGCTTTCCGAGTTGAAGGGTGAAGTGAATAATTTCGACATAAAATATAAATACGTAGACATGTTCCTGAAAGATGTTGACACAGACACGTGTCTGTGACACAGACACGTAGCTTTGTTGAAATGAAGCTGATGTATATAAATGAGCTGCAGCTTTGTCGATTGCTTGGGTTAATACTTTCTCGAAAATATTTGTTTCATTGGGGACTTATATACAGTACTACAGAAATTTAAATATGACCTGTAGAGGCGTTCAACTAACTGATAGCTTTGTTCATCTTTTGATACTCAAAGATTGAGTTCTCTGTCGATCCCACAAACGGCGTCTTTGTAAGGGGAAATGTTTCCGCTCTCATTTACTCAGGCTTGTTCTTTGAGGATAGTTGAGTTGAACAATGCATTTCTAATTCAGAATAGCACCACAGTTTCTTTTGTGTCAGTAGAATTGTTACATGGTAGATTTTTGTTTTCAGAGAGTGCTTTGTTTTAAGAATAAAAATATTAATTTTTTCTATGTGCATTAACACCGCTTTAATGACAACCTACCTTTTCTCCTTATAAATACATATAGTTTTGTTGTATTTGGGTTGTCTTAGGAAAATGGTTGGGTCACTATAAGAGTATTCTGTGGTCAAGTGTCGGCATGACGTTTTACATAAGATGATGTATTTTTGTTAATTATTTTATTAATTAATAATATTTATTCAGTTGGATCATCTATAGATGACATTGAGTATGTATGTACAAAAATTAAAATACAAACTCCTTGTACTTAGAGGCACAATATACAATTTACATAGATAATATAATACAATATACAATAGTCAACACCTAAAATAATCTGCTATTTATGCAACAGCATCCTTATTAAAATCGGCCTAAAATGTTGGACAGACACATACTATATAAAAGTCAAAGCCAAAAATAATCTGTTATTTATGTAACAGTATCGTTATTAAAATCTTCCTAAAATGTTACAGATCTACATGATAATAAGTTATCATCCATATATACTTTGAGAGAATAATAGGATTAATCCAGGAGCAACTCTGATTTGATAATTATACTGTTTTGGAGCCACATTCTTTATTGTCCTTGGAAGTTTATTGTACAATTTGATGGCCATAAGCCTTGGACATGATTCCGATACAACTAATCTGTGTGTTGGCACTTCCAACTGTTGGGAATTTTTAGTATTATAATTCTTATTACCATTAAAAGTAGGAAAACTGGTTGTGTGCGATTTTACACAAGCTCATAAACCAACTGTATCTCACTCATTAAAATTGTGATTATACTTCAGAAGGGTGTAGGTTTTATCATCTCCTGATGATGCTAACTTGTTTTGCGAAACGTGCATCGAAATACAGTTATTTGTTATTGTGAGACAAAAGAGTTTTCAATAGATTGATTTTACACCAAAGGTTCCGAATACTACTTATCATCCAACATGTATTTTTTTATTGTAGCTTGGACACTCAAGTCACCTCCTAACCTCAGTTCTTCTTTTGTTGAAAACGAACCTGATTTTCTGCTCTAATGTGGTTGCTGTTATTTGTGTTAATATTTTCAATATTTATGATCTGATTTCAAATTCCTCTTCTTCATATTTTCCATAACTTTAGGATCTTTATCGAAGGTTTTCTCTATATCTATAAAGGGCTATTTCACTCTGTTGTAGTGATTTGAAGATTACTTGTTTTGCTGTAAGATGATGGTCTTGTTTACTCTGTTTTCTAAATCTGTTTTGTGACTTTTCTCCATTACTGGTCTGATTTTCTTATCCGATATTTGATCATATATTTTCTTTGCAACACTTAACAATGTTTTTTTTCCTGATTGATTCGGCTGCTACTTGATGAAGATCCATAGTAATTTCATAAACTAAACCTTACGATTTGATCTCCACAAACTTTATTTGAGAAATATATCACATGTTGTGTGACAGTAGCTTCTTCAACAGTAATTTGAAATCACTGTTGAAGAAGCTACACGTTAGCGAAACATTTCTCAAATGTTATACCTCTATAATGGCAGTCATGCATATCATTTTTTATATATTGGTATGGAATGTTTGGAGAACACGCTGAATAGGAAAGTTATTGTCGTATACATCAATCTTCATATCATGTAAGTAGTTGTTTCAAAAGTATTTTTTCTTTTGTATAATTCAATGTTTAATGAAAGTAGTTGTTTCGAGAGGGCTGTGCCTGAAAGTTTCTTCTTTGCATGATCTACGTATCTTGGAATAAAGTTAATTTTTTGAAATCATTCGCATTCTTCCTTTCCACATTTGTTTGTATAAAGATGTGGAAGTACCAAAAATTGATCTCTCCTAAAAATATACCCCTTTCAATTATAGATTATTGTTACAGTACATACGTGTAATTTGTTGAATATTTTGTGTAAAAATAGGCATTGTCGTAAATAAAAAAAATTACCAGAATTTTTTTCAATTCTAATTGAATATTATTTTTGTGTAAAAAAAAAGATTCTTATAGCAGTGGGCTCTGCGTTTGAGACTGAAATTTGCACACTTGGAATTTAAAGAGTAAAAAAAATCTGTCATTACCCTGACAGAGTATTAAAAAGTGACACATTGAGGTAATGTATGAATAGGAATTCAATAGGAAATAAAATGCCTCTCCAATGAGTTCAGTTTTTATTATAAATGATCAATAGCTTAACTAACATAAAGTGCCCATCCCCAGTGAAAGAATTGTATTTTTATGGAAAAGCAAACATTGCTCTTTACAGCTTAATCAACTATTCTAGGCTGTCCTAACAATTATGCTTCATAGTATAGTATACTACATTACTTTATCATAAATTTAGTGAAATGCATTCCATACTTCTTCTAAAAGTTAAAACAAGTATCTATAGTACAAACCAAGTTAATAAAATGACCGAAGATTCATTGAAGTTGTTTCAAAAATATAATTCGTGGGGCAACTTAAATGAAATGTAGCTTTAGAAGAAGTAGGCCAGTCAACGAGGTGAAGATGGAGTTTTTATCTAAGTACACTCATGATGAACAGATCTGACATTATGTTAAAGTGGTCTACTACATTTACATTCAACAGGAAAAAGCCATAGAGAATTTTCAATGTGTTTTCTAATAAAGCAGAGCAGAGTAGGTTTTCAATAAATTTAAAAAATATCCTGTCCGAAAGAAATTTGAAAATTTTCAAAATAAATATATTGGGTAAAGAAATGAAACAGCATGAAAAACGGCTGGACATTTGAAGAATGAATAGTGACTGGAAGATCATGTCTTAGCCAGAAGTATATGAAAATATTAGATTTTTTGTTTTACATCAAATTTTGAAAGTAGTTGTGAATGTGTTAAGGATTTACAAAGCTGTAACATTTTTCAGGTGAAATAAAATGTTCATATGTAACCGATCTCATTACTTTTCAATACACTTTAAAATAACTGGTAAATATAATTCATGTTCTTTTCAGACATCAATTTTTCGTGTTACAAATATTCAGACAAAATTGTACTTATTCATATATCGAACTGAATGAGTTAACAAAAGAAGTGTTTTCAAAAAAAGATACATGGAACTCCGCACAACTGTTTCAATAGTAATTCACGAGGACAGGGTATTCTTTCGAATGCACTACCATTTTCTCTATATATTTTGAGCGTTTTCATCAACAATAACTGTCAACCCATTAATCTGCTAAGCATACTTTAATATGTGTGAAGAATAATTTTTACTCGCCTGACAAATGCAAATGCAGTAAAAATTGTTAAAAATATTACATCTCTATATAATTTTAACATTCAGTCTTACACACAACTTTCATACAATATATACAAATTCAATTTGAAAAATTATCCAAGCGCCGACGCACCCACTGAAAGTCCAGTATTCGTGCTCGGGGTTTCGCACTATAAAAAAATCACATAAAAAGTTATAAACACGGCGACTAGACTGTCGGATGGTTATAAGTTTGAACATGATTGGCTGGAAGTAACCAATCAACTTAGAGTATCGCTTTGAAGAAAAATAGACATAAAATAATTGAAGGTTAGGGATGGCAGTAGACTCAGAAAACAAAGGATGTTATTTATTCGTTCAAGTTTTCCGGTCAACCATGACCAGATATAGTCATGCTACTTCCATTATTTCCATATTTGAAACTCTAAATTGATTAAAAAAGGAGGGAAAACGTTCGTATGAAAACCTGCCAAAAATACACAAAACTCAAATTAATGAATAAACACAATTCAGCAATGAATAAACACAATTCAGCAAAAAAAAGACACACTTCACACAATATTGCATTTTTGTTTGAAATCCTGACTGGAAAAAAAGTTAAGTAAATTGATAAAAATAAAATCGTAACACTAACTGAAACGCGACAAAAACCAATCGACTAAATATAATAAATATTTATGATTCCATATAAAATAATACATTCTCTTTATTTCTATCTCATTTGTTAGCATAACACTAGTAAAGTACCACTTGATAATGTCAATGTTCCACAATTAGAAAAAAGTCATCGGGAAAAATCTGAAAACAAAATCAGGAGATCTACTTAATATACAACTTGTCTAGGATTTCTTTCGCTCTTCAATTCCGCATATCACAAGCAAAGAGTCTGGGTTAATCTTAAAAACTAAATTTGTAGAGCGATATTCGATAGTTACGGTGAGAAACAGAAGCCATTTTGGTGTTTTCTGATTTTTTCATCTGGTACACTCTGAACACTGAGGAACTGAGTTTGGAAACCGCTACACATTGCTAGCATTTTTCTATGTTGGCTCGCTGGGTATCTCCGGCTCTTTGACAAGCAGTCACAGCTTCAGTTCGTTCGCTATCTTGCTAGCAATATTCTTGAATCCAATACTAGTACCTGTGAAAAACAAATTTTCAGATTAGTAATGTTTTCTCTTCAAAAACACTAACTAAAAAATACCAAAAATATGATATATATTGCTTCAATGTTAATTAGTGATAGGTGTATCGATTTGCCGTTAATCGATATTCATTTGATAAATATTGTATATAATACAGTTTATTTTTACTTGATCATTACTCTCAATAAATATTTTGCATAACATGTGTACCTTGTCTTCAATTATAATTCTTCAAATAATTATCGTCATTAGTTTTAGATATACAACTGTTGAACCGAATATCCACATTATCCAATGGTCAGATATTACTTTATTGAACAAAACCAGATAAAGTGGCACAGGTGGATATTATTGATCAATTCTCAATAAATCCCTCAACGTCTAATAAGTTATCGAGGGTGTAAATGCACACTCTTTAATTTATATAATTTTTATTCTCACAAAATCTACACTCATACCTCCAAAATATTTGGACAGAAATTCTGGAAAATGTGTAAGAGGTTACGATAATTTTTTCATTTGGTCAGATACCTCAACTATTTTTATAATTCACCAATCTGATTTTGGTTGAATTTTTACAAGTAAAAAGTCATAAAGTTAGTAAAAGCAGGCCAGTTACTTTCTTGTTCAGGTCCATTTTACTTTCAGGAATAGATTGGGTGAATTTGGATTCAATAATCAAAGAATAAGTACCACAATGTTTTTTTTTAATATCATTTCATTTAACAACTTTTTGGACTCCCCTTGTAAAATGAAATATTTTTCACGGCTGGTTTTTTGTATACTCAATCTTTATTTCTTTTACCGGCGATAGGCATCCAAAAACGTTTACAAAAACAATTTCCTCTAATTTTGGATACCAATATTTGAAAAGTGGTTCATATCGATTTAGCGTGTTCAAATGATTGTCGAGTTCTTCTTTGCAATTATATCTGGCAATAAAATTTTAGTGTTTCATATAGCAAGAATAGTCGCTTTTCGTGATGAGAGTTTGCCAAATCATCAAATCGCGGATGGACTTCAGTTACCCGAATAGTGCATTTGTACCAGGAAATTAACAGCGTTGACTGGGGACGTGGAACTGGGGTAACTACTGCAAGAGATGATCCGTATCTAGAAAGATATGTACGTCAGAATTGAACCATAACAGGCTCAGCTGTCCAAACTCATTTAAGAATAAAGTTTGGTCGATTAATTTCTAGTACCACAATACCGCGGAGACTTGCTAGAGCCAATTTGCAATCCAGGAGGCCAGGAGACACATAGCCGCTCGTCTACAGTGTCTGGCTTTTGGCTCAGGGCGAAATGTTCTTTTTTCGGCCGAAACACAGAGTTTGGAGAAGGCCAGGGTGACAACAAAGATTATTATTTGCCAGTGAAGTCTTTCCATACCAAAGAGGATCAGTAATGTTTTGGGGAGGCATAATGCACCGTCATCATACTCAGGAGAAAAATATGTTTGAAACATTAGTGAACCCCTTATTCATCCTCTCCGAAATGAAATTGGAGCCATCGATGTCAATGCTAGGCCCCATCGCACGACAAGAATTCAAAATGTACTGAGAATATTGAAAGATTACTGTGGCCAGCAAGTTTGCCAAACATGAATCCCATCGAGCACATGTGGGATTTTGTTAGACGAGCAATCTCAAACAGAATTAATTCTTCTAGAATTCAGATTCTGGTAATCATTTTATTATGCTATATTTTTCGTTTGTTTTTTCTTGTTCAGTTAAAATTAAATTCAGCCAACCAAATAGAATGTACTTCATGATACACTTTTTGACTTATAAAAATAGTGTCGTGTTTAGACGAACATAAGGGAGTGCAAAAATGTTGGCGTATTTTCAGCTGATTCCACTATTGCTTTCTTCGAAACGGTTAAATTGGACAAAAGTTTCCTATTTTGGGGAACTAGAATAATCTCTTTTCAGATCGAGAATATCAGTGGTTGTTTTTGAAATATTTGCCAATTACTAGGATAGTCAAGTTTATTTCGTTTTTTAGCTCTACCGCCTCCCTTTCGACTGATATTGTTATGTTTTCAGAAATGGAAAAACGGAAAAATATAACAGTAAAATTGAAGAACTACTAGACCCTGCAAACTACCGCACACAGATAGATACCTGCATGCACTATCGAACCAACAACCTAATCAAAAGAGAGGAGCCATAAAGGTATAAACCATATTGCATAATATTGTAAAGATAATATCAAGCTATCCGCATAATCTGCGAGAATATAATATAACAGTGTTACCAGACTCACCATTTAGTCCCCGTATCAGGTAAAGTGGAGGTGGTAAGTGGAGGGGGTTGAGGAGGAGTGGCTTGTACACAGTCCCACAAAAGTGGGACTGCTCGCGAGCTGTCATCATTCGAACTACTTCCTCATAGCCTATTTAGAGGAAGAACTGGAACGGATAGAATTGGGAAACTCTCGGGGAAACATAACAGTAAAACGTTTTTTAAACCCACCAAGATACAACAAAGCCTCAGGTCGGCTGAAGACAAAAGACACCCACTATCAGCAGCAGGGGTTTATTGGATACCGTAGGAAGGTGGGAAGGTATAAATCGGAACCAACAAAAAAATCCATGGCAACAGGTTGAAGGAGCATGAAAGAAATTGCAGAAGAGCCAAACGGACAAGTCGGATGTGGCAAAATACGCACTCAGTGAAAGAAACCACAGAATTCTGTTTGAAAACACGGAACTCATTGTCCCCGACCAGGGATTCCATAGCCAACTGGTATGTGAGGAAATATAAATCCTCAAACACACCCATAATTTCAACAAAAAATCTCACAATAAAGTGTTTTTTGAATATGTTAGTTATGGATTTTCATCAAGTATCCATCATATAGAGAAGAAGAAGCTGTGAACCTCAATTGAATATGAAATCCCATTTCAAGAATGGCAAACAGCAAGACGGCTGGAAGAGAAAGGTCAACAGATGTTGACATTTTTTCTGATTCTGCTGCTTAATATCAAGTCATTGGAGATATCAACTCAAGCTGTATAAACATCTGAAGAAGCTAACCAGTCGCGCCAACGAAACGTCAGGAAGAAATTCCAAAAATCCACGGCCTACACAAACCTGAAAAATAGTGACACTAAATGCAGGTCCGTATTTGAAAAAAGTTGATGATGAAAAATCTAATGAACGAAACGTCGCATTGTAAATTGGTCTTATATCAGATCTTAGAAGAGCAGAGTTTTTATTTTGGACACCTTTCATTAATAATAATTATATCAAACTACAAACAATAACAGTGAAACCATCAGTAGAATTTGTAGATTATAGTATCAGAATCGAGCCAACTGTAAATACATTTTAGATGCCCTCACATATACAATGTGAGAAAAAAATCTTTATTATTATTTTTCAATTTGGTCAAACAATACAGTTATGAAAGAAACTTCTACAGAGTGTATGTTAATTCTTTCAACTTAAAAAAAACTTAGATACGTAATATTTTCACTGTAATTAATATAAATTTGGGAAACTTACCAGAAATTCTCTTGAAACGTACACCATTCAGCGATAATCGAGGTAATTTACAAACTTCAATCTCCCACTGGACCAGACTATCAGTATTTGGATCACCGTGGACACACAGTAAAAGAAATCTTTCCCGTTGTTCATAGTCGCAATTGTTGGCATCTAAAACTTTTCTAATCTCGGCCATTATTTCTGCAGGATCTCTACTTGATGTAGTTTTCATTGACCAGGTGAACCTCAATGATCGGGGCTTCACATGATCCTCATTTGGGGCTCCCTGAACTCTAAAAATGATACAAAGATGAAAATATTTTGAAGGATTATATTCTCTTCAACAATTTTCAGACCAAAATAAAGCACTACTAAGGATCTCGCATAGTTTATAGGTCTATGAGATACAGTTGTAGGTTTGGACTTCCATTATCTAAAAAGGTGTTAGCAACTTGAAATCTATGGAAAAAATTGTTAGAAAGCTAATTTGGAAAAAAATGACATGAAATTAAAACGAATTAAAAAATGGGTTGAACAATAGGTGAAATGTCAAATATATGCAAACAATAAAAATGAAAGAAATGAAAAATTAAAATTGAAGATGAATGATGAAAACTTGCAAAAATTCAACACTAAGAAAACAATTTCGAATAAGCTAATTCACATAGTTATGAACATTGACACACTACATTGTTACTTAGCTGGGTTATTTTATTTTTTCATCATTAATCTTTATTTTTTAATTTGATTTTTCACCTCATTCATTTTGTTTGCATATAATTGATATTTCACCAACTGTTTAACCCATTTATAAATTATATATAATTTCAGGTCACAATAATTTGTTTTCCTTACAAATTAGCCTACAAATAATTTAAATTTTCTATAACATTCTTTTCAATTCTATTTTTCTTCAATGAATTTCAAATCTGTTAACACAATTTCGAAACTCCGTACTAATAATATTCACCAAGAAGCATTATCAACCACATTCAAAAATCCTTTTTTAAGTAACTCGATTTATAAGAAGTATTATGTCCACTAGTATTTTTATATCATTTTGCACACCTTTACTCTCGTGCAATATTGGATTATATGGTGAATGAGGTTATGAAAAAGATGTATACATGCTACAAATAATATAGCTTTGAATATTACTCAGCATGAACAGAAGCAAGTAAAACAATTCCTTCACTCAAAAAGCGAAAGTTTGAAAACTTTTATATTTATTCTATACTTATTCCAACTCATTTTGGAATTATGAGAAAGAATAAATTGGCTTTACTGAAACCTAAAACTTACCCTACTGCAGGTAAAGGAGAGTTGCCATGTTTTACTTGCTGGCCAGGTTCTAACGCCCTGAAAATTATGGAAATTATTAGTAATGAGGTGCTGTCAGTATAAGTAGTCATGAATGTGTGAATGGTGTTACAGTTAAGATATGATAAAACTCCTGTTCTTCAATACCTGAAAAACTGATACAGATCATCAAGAAATATTTTCTCCAAATAAACAGATTTTTTAAAAGCTTTCTGTACTTTCACTCATTGAAAAACAGAATGTAACAAAGAAAAACAACAAAAATTAAAATAACCCGATGAAAATGAGTTCAATCTAAGTGAAAAGTCTACTTTGTTTTTATGAAGTACGTAATGAAGCAAATCATGGACGTTTTGGCATCCTCTCTTGGCCGACACCAAATTTTTCCATACCTCTCAGAATATTGATAACTTTCTACCAATTGGAAAATTTTTCCAAAATTGTTTAGACGGGTAATATGGGGAATATATTAGCTTGTTTCAAAAGTTTTATCTTTTTTAAAGTCATGTGTTTTTGTAGCTTTATATCTCAAAGAAAATTCAGTCGATAGAGAATTTGTATTCTATACATTGATGCTGTCAATTTTTTTCAAATTTAAATTTTTTGCCTCTTTCCAGGTTTCAACATGTTCATACTTCCTTGTTTTTAATTATGATATGTACCTTGCTACTTGTATGTTCATCATGTGAAGCGTATTTTATACTATTTTATTTTATCTTATGTGATCTATATCACTATTTGGATGAATGTATACATGTCTTATTGTTTGAATGAAATAAATATTTCTATTTATATTACTATATGATGTCGTTAAGCAATTTTCAGAAAATTTTTCTTCACGAAGGTTTAGGTCACCGAAATCAAAAGCAATAATTTCATTAACATACTGAAATATACAGAGTACTCAAACATTTTTTGAGAATCTTGGATCCGCTTTGATTTTTTAACCAGTAAGTGAAAATAAAAATAAAACAATACTCACAAAACTCTATTTTGTTGACCGGTATGGTTGGATTCAAGATGGCGAGTATCGCTAGAAAAGGAGAGATAAATATTATATTATAATAAAAATCACACACGGCAACATCTTGAATCCAAAATGAAGGTGGTAATGGAAATCATAAGAGTAAACTATTTCAATTTCATGAGATAATGTCCATTAACTTTTTTGTGAATAAAATGAAATAGTTTCCTCCAAGTTTTTGATATGATATTAAATCAAATAGAGCTTGGCAAGTAGGGTGAGGTTACATACAAACGCAAGTGGTCCAGTGAAAACTAAACGCCGCCAATATATCATAAATGCCATAAAAGCCAACCCTTAAATCTAAAATGGGATCATGGGTCAAGCGATACTCATTTGATATAGGAATGTGGGCTTTCAATGCTGGCGTCAATGTTCTCATTGGTTGCCGGGTTTTGTCGTGGTCTTTGATTGCAATCTCCAAACATTTCAACTGCAACTGCGGCAGTCGTCTTCAGTGGCGTGGTCGAAGTACTCTTCTTGACATGTCAAGAGTAATTCGACCACGCCACGTTGAAGACCACGGCAAAACCCGAAAGTCAATTAAAACAATACTCATTTGAACTAATGCAGCAATTTGATGCATTAGTTTCTCAGAAAAAACGCTATTACGAAATCTGGCAATGAACGAATATGAAATTTTTCACTTTTAATATTTATTTCAGGTAAAACCCATAAAACTATTAGGGGAGAACTGTACCCATACATCAAAGAACAGAACACATACAGATATAGCAGCATTAATTACTCAGGTAAACTTTCAGTAAATATTCAAAATTACTTTTTCTAATTCAACATAATATCTTTCATAAGAAATAATAATTTAGTCAGAATCTTATTTAATGCAAAACCTAGACGTGACAGAATGAAGAAATCTGGCATATATAGAATAGAATGTAATGAATGCTCTGCAGTAAATACAGGCCAGACCGGCAGAAATTTCGAAGTAAGACTCCGTGAACACGACGGTTTAGACAAAAAATCTTCTATGCACGAACATCTACAAGAAACAAATCACAAACAAGTAAGGAAAACCTCAAAATCTTACATACATGTAGTAAAGGAAGGGAAATGAATTTGGTGGAAGCCATGGAAATCAATAAATCAATTAAAAACTCAAAATATAGAACCCTTAACGAACAAACAGATTTGTGTAGGTCTCCACTTTTGAATTTATAAAGATGAAAACGCAATTAATCACAGTTTGAAGTTTATGTAGTTGGTATTAATGAATGTAAGTATATATCGTATTACCTACTCTCGGATATATATACCTCGATATGTCTCTTAGGTCAGTAGTATTAGAATACTTGAGAATGGTGTAAAAACCGAAACCTTGGTCGTAATAATATCAATATATTAAAAGTGGAAATTAGACAAAGTATTTTATTTGAATATCTATATCATTTAATTTAATATTTATGTTTTAACACTTATGTATGCAGACTATACTAAATAGGCCATCCTGGCTCATTTAGACGAAACTAAATAGGCCTATTTAGTATTATCTACTCTGGAATTTGATACTGGTAATGAAAAACTTAATGCAGTTTTTGTCAATCTTCTTTTTAAAGTATTTAGAATTCCATTTATCTACATTCAGTAACTCACAGATTTTGACGGTGACTATTTCTAGTTATCATTTTGCTCAAATTGGTTTATTAAATGGAAAAAACGGTATTGATAATTGAACTTCAATATAAAAATGGTAGGTACGCTAATATCACACTACAGTTATTGATGATCAAAATCCGTTCATGCATCTTGGCCGATAATTATTATCATAAGAGTAGACAAATTTAGAGACAGGACAGGTGGCAAATCAAAGAAGAAACCCCCTAAATGAAATAATGGAAAACAAAGCTGTGGAAGTTGCGCTTTTGAGTCCCTTCAGTATCGATCTTACTTCAAGTACCAGGCAATTTTCTACAGTTTCTGATAAAGTCATAGAATTCTGAAATACCATAAATTCCACCACTATAAAATTCACCTCATACGCAAATTGAATGAGGATCACTTCGATAGACATTTATAACTTTGCGAGTTAACGGAGTCAATTTCACATTAACAGACAATCTTGAACATAATGACCACTGCAATGGAAATACATTGACTTTTCAACAAGATGGAGCACTTCCTCATTCACCCTGGCTGATGTGAGTATTCACTTGGAACTTTCCTGGTAGGTGAATCGGTCAAAGAGGATCGAGTGGCCCGCTAGATAACCAGATTTGAATCCACTAGAATTTTGGTAGGCTCACTGGAAGACAGTAATCTATAAAACTTAACCAGCATCTGTTGATAACTTATGTAAACGGATTATGGATAACTGCCGCAACATTACACCTGAAATGCTTCAAAATTTGAATAAAACCTTCATAATTGCATGGAAGTAAGAGGTCAACATTTTGAACACATTGAATTGAAATTTGAGTAAATAAGATTTGGGCAAATTTTCAATATAGGTAAAAAACTCCAATGTTCTTCATGTTAAATTGTTATAGATTTCAAAACGTCTTTTTTCAATATCTATGATATCCATCAAATTCCAAAAAGGGCAAAGTACTGGAAAAAGAATTTGATGACCTTTCAATGAGCTACCAAGGCGGTGAAAGTGACAAGATTGACAACAGACGCAAAAAGTTTCCCCCTCGAAATAAAAATCAACGGGTCAGAGCGAATTTCATCCCAAATCACACTTCAACGAATTAGACTTGTTTCATTTTCACTGGCCCACCCTCTATACACTTCCTAAAACTATAACAAAAACCACCCTTTACTGTTTATCATATATTTTTTTTTCAAGAAAATTATATAGATTAATTTACAATTAACAAAAATTATAACTTTTTTAACATAATACTTTGGTCAGTTAATGTGTTCACTTAATGTGCAACAACACTAATATATTTTGTTCAAAAACAATTGTCAATATACTTTTTCAGATATGTAGAAAAAATGTCTCACGAAAATATACAAGAAAAATATATATACAGGAACAATAAAAAATCAAATACATATAAACAAATTTCCTAAACACCCCGAATAGCTTCTTTTTCAACAGGGGTGTGAGATTTTTATAAGGCAAACTGATAAAACAACCACAATAGCTTATATGATTCGGTTTATCAGTCTTTTATAAACGATTGTCTATAAAAAATTGCATTTAAAGTCCATTCGTTACTCCACTACAATGGATATGTCATATTTAACAAAAATAGTCACATATGTGTTTTAAAAAAGTTTCATACACATTTTATTTTCAACTTTTCAAGAGGAAACCACAAATGTCAAGCCAAACAAATGTATTATAATCAAAGGTGCACAAAGGGTGCATCTAATTAACTGGACCTTAACTGGTGTTGTACTTTACCTGGTGAAAAGGTTTGTACATAATTTATTATTTCTCAAGAAACTAAATTAATATTACAATAGGTACTAATGAAATAGTAAATTCAAGATGAGAAAACTTGTTGAATAATTCGTCGATTCTAATCAATTTTGCATAAAATTGAAGGAATCAACAGAGTCATTTTGGGCTACTGCCTAAAATTTGTGAAGGATCGGTATTGGCATTACTGACCGAAACAAGTCTAACCCTCAAATAATAGATTGGAAAAAAAAACAAAGTAAAAGTTATGAGCTATCAAAGATATATTTAAATGAATTTGAATTGAATTTTTTTAATTATTTAAAAATAGTTATTCCTATTTATTGGAATGAAGCTGAAGATTCCCATATGTGGAATCCATCAAAAAAACAATTTTTATGATATTTTATATTTGTGAAATCAATACTAAGATTATTCAGATGAATTCTTTCAAAAGTTATAACTGAATGTGCAAATCAACTAAAATGATATAATTCGAGTGACGAATTATGCAGGAAAAACATACCTGTCATTTGATTTTGTCATTTGTGGAAACATGTCAGACTTGACAGCTGGGCATCAGCAAACTCACTATTTTGGAAAAATGACTACTTTCAAATAAAAAATATTAATACTAAAAATTACCACAATTTTCCACTGATTTACAGTCAATGTGAGTTTTAAAAGCAAATCAACAAGGTGTTGAAGTTTTTAGCACTGTTTTGAATATTAAAATACAATTCTAAAAAGAAGAAAAAAATTAATTAGGCAATATAAATATTATTTATATGTATTGGTCTGGATTTCTACAATAGACTTGTTTTTGAATAAAAAGTCATAAGGAAACTAGAAGAAGATTAAAACAATCTGAAAATGAATAGTCTCAGAATATTACTGTTTTTGCCAATAAAACACTTAATTTATAGATACTTTTTGATAGCAAATGTTTTTCTGCAAAACGATTCTGGTAGGTGAGAAAATATTCCTGTTTCAGATAAATTCTGCAAATATTTTTTGTATTGCGTTTTAATCTAAATAAACAATTTTTATATAAACGACTTTTTACAAAATATACCATATTTGCATGTATCAAAAAGAAGCATATATATATAGAAATATGAAATGTGATTAACTGCCAATTAACTAAAGACTTCTTTAAAAACCTTCTGAACCAAATTAGTTGTAAATTTCTAGGTTAAAATAGCGGGCACTTTTAAAAGCTGGTTTTGAGTTGAACTAAAAGTTCAAATACTCTGATATTATGAATGAAATTCTAAATGAAAAAAAAATTATATATAACTACATTTTCAAAAATAGTGATTTCGACCCTCTGAATTAAACTAACTAATACAATGAATCCAGAGCATCACTTTTTCAAGCACTTCTTCCATATCCATCCAGTAACTTATCTTAGAGTTTTTCCTCCATACTGTGGATGTTCCATATGGCATTTGGATTGGTTCCAGAGGGTTCTTCTAGGGCTCTCCTGAGTGCGGTGGTACGTCCCACGAAATCCCTCTCATGTCCTGAACCAGAAACAACCATTCATCGTTTATTCTTTCGTTGTTTTGGAAATATTTTTTTTGCTTTTTTTTGAAAAGATTGCAGATTTTCAAGGGACGAACCACGCGCACACACA